AAAATATGTATTACAGGCAATAGGAGTGCTGGCTATCAGTTAGCGCAATTTTTCTTAATACTAAATATATAAACCTTAACTTTGAACGTTTCCACTCATATGGTTTGAGTCTTCATCAGCAATCTTTCACCCTAGCGTAACGATTGGATTATTGCATGACAAAATGATATCTCCAACATTTTTCCTCTCGAATATTGAACCGTTTACTGTTGTGAGGTAAGTCACATACTCACAAAGTTAGAAAGCTGAGTGGCAATGAGAACTCAAGCTAAAATTATATGAAAGATTAAATTATCGTATGTATAATTTGAAAATTAATATTCACCTCACACAGTCGACGCTTCTACACTGAACAATGAATCTCTCTTATTTAACATTTTGTAACTCGTTAATATGTTATAAATTATCGTCAAATTTTAAAAAATAACTGCGACAACAATATATCTTGTCATTTCGACAGTCGGTTAAATAATGATTGCTAAACAAGTAACATAGCGGTATAGTAACAATTTGAAGACGAACAAGTTTATGACATATACGTTGTATTACGAACAAGCCTTAAAGTTTATTGAGAATTTCAATGTACGCATGATTTAAATTAATGGTATCATGTTGTAGATTCAGCCCATTGGTCTGTCGATTAATATGCATCATTTCTGATATTAACCTTTTATTATAATAATTTTCTACATCCAAAATCTCTACGTTTTGCCAATCAAATATAACTATTTAATGTCTTTTAATAATTGAATATAAGTATGATGTACACCTTCTGTATCTGAGCGTAAATTTAGATAATTTTGTTGCATTAGTATATATGAAGGCATTCAGATATTAACCGCTTATTAAGAAAACGCTCTTCATCTAAAATCGCGACATTCTCCCAATCGAAGTCATGATCAAATTCAATACGATGTTCTGTGATCACTGATTGGTTGTTACTATTCCGGTTAATATGATTACGATGCTCAGCCAATCTAGTTTTAAGTTTACGTACATACAGTAAGTACAACAAGTATTCGTACAGAGAAAACATTTTTTAAAAGAACTTTATTTTTAAAAAATAAATATTATCCAGCGAGAAATGAGTCATCGAATTGATGTCGAATCGATATAAATTCGATGATTTTAACACCAATTTGACGTCGATTCGACATTTAATTAACGATCATTTCTTGTTGGATAATTAACAATTTATTTATAAAGAATAAAATAGATTGTATGTTTCTTAAAATTATATATACCAAAATGATGTGTATTAATTATACAAAGTATATCATCCGAAAAATAAGCGAAAATTAAAAATTGTATTGTTTGAAGGCTCAAAAAGTATTCGTACAGACGAGAAATTTAACTTCTAAAATTAGGAATACATGCTAAGCTCATTTGTTTATATTAGAACAGAATGTATTCATTGTATAAAATTGCTAATTAATGTTTATTTTCTACAAATAAGACTTTTTTATAATAAATTTACTTATACGAATACTTTTTGCTCTCACTGTGTATATATATTCTATTATACTTTTAACTCTATTTTCAATTCTATTATACTTAAAACTTAAAACTATAATATAGAGTTAAAATACGAAAAGACGAAAATATGTTGTAAAATCTGATACTATTCATTTTCGTTTTTAAATCAATAAGAGGACGCTGCGTATCGAGTGTCTTATACTCAAAGTAAACAACCGTTCCTTGCATATTATGAAAAGAAAGGATCCATGTATGTGTACATTGTTAAATAAGATGCTACGTGAGAGAGAAGGTCCTCATGTTTCTCACAAATGCTCTAATGAAGCAGGAGCTTCTAATAAGTCTTCATTAACATGTGTTAATAAAGAAGATCTTATATTGATGCTTCAGGTATCTTCCGATCAAACATCGAATATAGTTAGCTCAAATACATATTCATGCTTAAAATCGTCGTTACTCCTTTCACCTTTTTTTAGTGCAGAATATTTTAATAATTCTATACTTTTCAAGAAACTTTTCAAAAAACTTATCAGAAAAATGTAGATAATGAACTTAATATAAATATATTATGGAAGTATTTATTCATAT